GCACAGGGTGTGCCCTGCCCGCTCCGGTTGCGAGCTCACTCCACTAGAGGTGTTGCATCCTCCTGGGCGCTGGCTCGTGGCGCCTCGCTGGCAGATATCTGTAGGGCTGCGGGCTGGGCGACCCCTAACACATTCGCTAGATTCTATAGCCTTCGTGTGGAGCCGGTATCCTCCTGTGTTCTCACCTCAAACGGGTAGAAGCACTGAGAGGCCCCGGCTTCGGGTCGGCTTGCAAAACCACTCCAGAGAGTCCATACAGCAGACCCTGTTGAGTTCCTCCGTCCCCTCGGCAGCCAGACGTGGTGGAGCGTCCGGCGCCAGGCCTTCACTCGCTGAATCCTCGAGAACCGGTAGGAGGCTGGGTTCCATATGTAAGACCTAAGTGGATCTCATATGTGTAAAGTCCACGGTATAGCCTTGAGCCCGTGTTTCCCCGGCAGACTTCTGCCATTCCAAGTGGGTTCAATCACCTCCATTCTTCCATATGCACCTAAGGGATGTTCATATGTGTATTGCTTCCGAAACCTCCTTCGGGAAGGTTCGAGCTTCCGTAACGCCCCTGTTCCAAGTAGAACGGGTACGTTTTCCCAGTGTTATCCAGTCTTACTCATTGGGTAGTGCCATTACAGCAGTAGCTGGTCCTCTTGTGAAGAAGCCCGGGCCTACGCCAAAAAATAGGGGCGCAGGTGGCTTCCACAGGACACTGGAAGGGGCAGTAGCTGTGGCCCTTTGGTAGGATCCCAATTTCGTCGGTCCTCCGACGTGACGTCGAGAGTGACCGACTGAAAGGGAACGTCTCGGTTACGTATGTAACCCTCGTTCCCTGAAGGAGGGAACGGAGACGTCACGTCCCGTCGCCACAGCTCCTGTACCACCGCTGAGCGGCCGGGTCACCGGCTCGGCTCCTCAGCGAAAACCTGAATATGCGCTGCACCTGCTGCCTACTTATACTCACGCTGTGATCAGCAGCAGCTGGATGCAATAATCGCATGCCAATGTGCATTGGCTCGTTTAGTTTACACTCGAAGTAGATTGGTCCCTCTAAGCGAGATCCCAATTTCGTCGGTCCTCCGACGTGACGTCTCCGTTCCCTCCTTCAGGGAACGAGGGTTACATACGTAACCGAGACGTTTTCAAATAAGCCTCAACGACTTGATTAGTTGGATCAGGTGTGTTTAGTTAGGGTTGAATCTAAACTCTGCAGGGCTCCGGCCCTCCAGGAATTGCGTTTGACACCCCTGGACTACACTGACAAATATAAAAAGGCAAAAATATTTATTTGCAATGTATTATTACAATTACACAATATATTAAGCCATTACCTATGGCATGTTTTATTCAGCTTTTGCACGCACCTTAACTTGATAACCATTACTTTCATAAACACATGGGGGTCAGCCCAAACTATGTTGACAGTTACACCCTATTTAACAGTTGATTTATTTTGTGGTCCTGCAAAATGCACAATTATATGGTTTGCTTCATTGCATTATTTACCTTTAGCCTCGTTTTTCCTATTAGAAAACCCTATTAGAATCCATATTTAGATTGTGACTAACCAGTCAAGAACCACTGGCATACTGTATATTATATTAATTATCTTTCAAATGGTTGGGCCTGCACATTTCATGTTAATATTAATAAATTCCAAGGTTTGATTTTAAGTAAACAAGGTGGGGAAAAGTATTGTTTGAATGGCACTTGGATCTAAGCAAAGACAGTCAAGAACCACTGCTTTAAAGGAAACAATTCACCTGAGAGAGCACAGCTCATTTAGAGAAAGAAATGAAGGTGAGAAAAAGAAATGGAACAATTAGAAACAAATAGCTAAAAGAGCTGACTGTACCTCGTTTTATTCCCTGACGCTTCCTTTGCTTCACTCCTATGTGATTGTCAATCAGTGGACAGTTCACCTCCTCTACAGATGTTTCCAGTCAGCAGCTCCCAGTAAGCGGCCAATTACTCTGGGCTTTTATCCAAGAATTTCAGGATTGAAGGACTATCTGCACTATGAACTAAATCTCTAAATCACAGCAATTGTAATCACTAAACAATTTATCTGATTCATTAACAGACTGATAAATCAGCATAATATTCAGGCCATTTATTTAATGGTGTGTAATATTAATTTGCTTACATTTTTTTGACTTGTCAGTATTTCTTGTATGACTTTGTGTTACCTGGTATTTTGAATATTGCTGCCATTTTCCATGAACTGGCTACACTTACTTTATATATTTAATAATTTTCTCCAACAATAACTTGCCTGATGTTGCTGAGAAAGCTGTGATGAAATTGCCTTCGGTCCTAGATACTGACTAACAGCAAACATGTTTTTATCAAGCTTTTGAGTAACTTGTGAGATCTAAACCGATTAAATGCTTATGATTCTAAATGCTTTCCTTCTGACAATCTCCAGTTTCGCCATCTGTCTTTGAGAGGTTATAGCTGCAGAGCTGATCGACTGTAAGCATATACGAGATAAAGGATAAAGTTATCCAAGAGCTTTCAGAGTGAAGTGCCTCCTGTCAGAACTGTGAGGGGCATCTGCGTTTCAATCCCAATAAACAATTCAAAAGAAAGAGAGAACGGTTTAAGACCCACAAAAATCTTCTTTTTTTTTTTAGTATTGAGCCAAGATAAAAATTTAAATATTTGCATTGAATTAGCCTTTGTGCTCGTTAGTGTTCAACAAACTTAAACCTGAATCCATGTTCTTGAGGTTCCACACGGTTTTATGTGCGTATAAATGAAAGCAAATAGAAAAGAGATAAAGGATAAAGTTATCCAAGAGCTTTCAGAGTGAAGTGCCTCCTGTCAGAACTGTGAGGGGCATCTGCGTTTCAATCCCAATAAACAATTCAAAAGAAAGAGAGAACGGTTTAAGACCCACAAAAATCTTCTTTTTTTTTTTTAGTATTGAGCCAAGATAAAAATTTAAACATTTGCATTGAATTAGCCTTTGTGCTCGTTAGTGTTCAACAAACTTAAACCTGAATCCATGTTCTTGAGGTTCCACTCACATGGTTTTATGTGCGTATAAATGAAAGCAAATAGAAAAGACATTCTAATGAGATTGCACCTTGATTCAGCAAAAAGAGAGAGCATGTGTGAGAGAAGCGTGCGAGAGAGAGATGGAGTGAAGGACACAGAAGTTGAACTCTCGCTGTCGTGTCTCATCCCATCAGTTAGTCTAAATGCAGTTCTTTGAAGGCTGGCGAGTTGTTAGGCTCCCGCAGGAGGCTGCAAATGCAGCTCCAAAGCAGCCGGGTGTGAAACTCAGATCAGGTGCAACAAATTACACAGCTCTGAGGCTTAAAGAAATAGCTCACCCAAAAAAGACAATTTTGTAGTTAATTACTCATCACTCCAAACCCATATGCTTTTATGTACATCCACAACATGCTCCTGTAAGCATGTAAGAAATACTGCTGCTGCTGCACATATAACACATATGAATAATCCCCCACAAAGCAGGAGACATGTTACACAAACAATACAAGCCAATATATGCATGCCACTGAATTTAAGGATAAACTGCTGCATCAGTGGACATGCCTGTATCCACACACATGAAGATGAACAGACCACGCAAATAAACACAGCAATATGGATTAAAAGAGCATTCACTTATCTTAGATGTTGATTTAAGTTGCTCTAAAGTGTGCTGCAAAACTGCTACAGCAAACAAAAGCCAGGTATTTGAATATTAAGCAGTAAGCTCATTGGCTACCGATACAGGAGAGAACCAATCAGCTACCATGTGACAATGATGTCACCAGGTCAGATTGAGCTAGACCTATCGGACTGCGCCATCTAGAGTTTCATGCCAGAACTCTGTATATATGTATATAAATACCGGTATATATATATTAGTGCTGGGCAACGATTAATTGCAATTAATCGCATCCAAAATATAAAAAAATTAGTTTATATAATATATGTGTGTGTACTGTGTACATTTATTATGTATATATAAAGACACACACATGCAGTACATATTTTGAAAATAATTACATGTATATATTTATATTCATATAATTTATATTATATATAAATATTTAAAATATAAACATAACATAGTTTTCTTAAATACAGTTATATAATATATGTGTGTGTACTGTGTATATTTATTATGTATATATAAAGACACACACATGCAGTACATATTTTGAAAATAATTACATGTATATATTTATATTCATATAATTTATATTATATATAAATATTTAAAATATAAACATAACATAGTTTTCTTAAATACAGGAATGTGTGTGTATTTATATATACATAATAAATATACACAGTACACACACATATATATTATGTACACAAAAATGTTTATTTTGGATGTGATTAATAGTGATTCATCGTTGCCCAGCACTAATATGTATTCTCAAAAATATACCAAAACATCTAAAAACCAAATTAAAGGTCATCAAGGGCTCTCTCAAAGGTAATCAAACTATGGCTCTCTGGTCTAAAGACTTTTGTACAGCATGGTAACATTTTTAATTGGATATTTTGTTAACATGTTAACATTTTATTTGGAGAACCATTAAAATGTATCTCTTTTTCATAAATCTATGAGGGGACACATTACGTAAAGTATTACTTGTGTTACGGCACCAAAATAAATGGTTGATTCTTAGAAAAAGAAAGAAAAAAGAAAGAAAGCAAACAGAAATAAACCATGTTCAGTAGGAAACAATTGGAGGATACCACTTTTTAGTGTGTGTGTGTAGGCAGTTTTAGCACAAAGATATTGTTATTGTTTTATGTTCTTTTTAACCTCACTTGAAGACTCCCAAGTAAAGATATTTACATTTTTAGTTAAACCTCTAAGTCTTATGAAATGGGGGGGGAAGGGGGGGGAGTTTGAGTGTAGAGGTAAATATTCCTATATTTAGACTCAACTTTTGAGAGTCTGTGGGCACAAAAAAAAGGTTCAAAGACGTCACATGATTGTTCAAACATGATTGTTCAAAAAGTGCTCATATTCATTTACTTTATCCCGTTAGGCTATTTTTATCAGATGCTGCAATAATCTTTCAGTACATTTTCCTGTACGCTGTGTCTGAGAAGTCAGCTGTTCATCTGATATTCTTTGAGCCTCCTATAAGCTGATATAGTCATTTCTCAGGAGACAGTTTGGACTTAAACTGCTGACATGCTCGCACTGTGTGTCTGGCTTTCACTGTCTCCGTCCTCCTCTCCCCTCTGCTTCATTTTATCCCATCAGTCTGTTCATGCCCTCATGAGAAGAGAGGGGAGAGAAAGTGGATCAGAGAGTGCTTATATGGAGATTAGCAGGCAGAGAGAAAGAGAGAGAGAGAGAGAGACATTTAACACACCTTTATGTATAAATTACACTGTATAGATATACCTCAACCAATATTTAACTGTAACCAATCTTTTACATTTACAAAAAAAACACATACATATATTTATTCTTTCAAATGCAAATACGCATATATACCCACACAAAAACCATAGATAGTTTCACATAAATTATGCAAATTATTTTTTTTTTTTACAATCCTCATTTAAACATGTTTAACAGTCACAAAAACCCATCATTAATTTAATACCAGTTCATTATCATAATCCACTGTGCACAAAACCTCATTCAAAGCCCAAATTTCAATAAATCTGTCCAGGTTATTTGTCAGTTTAAAATATGCAAACCCTGCCTTGATTATATTTGCTATAAGAGCCTTTAAAACCACCTCAGGACCTACTACCACCTCTCCTTTCAATTTCCTTTTCCGTGTTAACCATTGCCATCTTTGCTCCTCCTATCACAAAATTGATTAACACGATGTTTTTCCTGTCTGATGCAACATATTTTGGTCCAAAAATGAATAATTCATTATTAAAATGTACCCCCAAATCTCTAACCCACCCGTCTAAGATCTGAAACAACCCTCTTAAACTTAAACAATTTAAAAACAAATGATCTATTGACTCATCAGTACCACAAAAAGGGCATTCTTTCCCTCAATGTGGGGTCAATGTGTGCCACATGTCTGTTTGTAGCTACCGCCCAATGGACAACCCTTTATTGGAGATCCACAGTGTGTTTCTCTATAGGAGGTTTGTACAGGGACCTCCAGCAGCCACTAGGGGATGAGTCTGGCCCGAACAAATCTGACCACTTTGTCTCTTTGCAATCTTTGAGTACGTTGTACTGAGACACTTTCACACAAATATTATATAGTGCCTTTTTTGAAACGGTCTCAAGACCTTCCAGCACAGGAGTCCTGAAATTTAGAATAGAACCTTCCTCTGGCTCTACATCCACCGCTGCTGAAATTTCCACTTGGAAGTTCAGGAACTTCATTTTCCTCTGGGCTTTGTCTCCCAATGGACAACCCTTTATTGGAGATCCACAGTGTGTTTCTCTATAGGAGGTTTGTACAGGGACCTCCAGCAGCCACTAGGGGATGAGTCTGGCCCGAGCAAATCTGACCACTTTGTCTCTTTGCAATCTTTGAGTACGTTGTAGTAAGACACTTTCACACAAATATTATTTAGTGCCTTTTTTGAAACGGTCTCAAAAGCTTCCAGCACAGGAGTCCTGAAATTTAGAATTGAACCTTCCTCTAGCTCTGCATCCACCGCTGCTGAAATTTCCACTTGGGGAAAATGACTCCCTCTGTTCCATTTCAGGAACTTCATTTTCCTCTGGGCTTTGTCTGAAGACAGAAGGTAATGTTGAAACAATTCTGTCTATTATTCTCTTTGCAATCCTCATACACTTGATGCCTGTCATATTGTACATTTCCTGTGGACTTTTCCACCAGCACCATTCTTTAAAGGGGTCATATGATGCGATTTCAAGTTTTCCTTTTTTCTTTGGAGTGTTACAAGCTCTTGGTGCATAAAGAAGATCTGTAAAGTTGCAAAGACTAAAGTCTCAAATCCAAAGAGATATTCTTTATAAAAGTTAAGTCAACCACGCCTACCTAAAATGCCTCGTTC